GCCCCGCCCCCTGCACGGTCTCCCCCGGGGCCGTAGGCGACCCGAGGAAGAGAAAGAGAAGAAGAAGAAGGAGGAGGAGGAGGAGGAGGAGGAGGAGGAGGAGGGGGATGGAGAGGAGGAGATGGAGGAGGACGAGGAGGAGGAGGAGGAGGGAGGAGGAGGAGGAGGAGGAGGGGGAGGAGGAGGAGGAGGAGGAGGAGGAGGAGGAGGAGGAGGAGGAGGAGAAGGAGGAGGAGGAGGAAGAGGAGGAGGACGGGTCGCTTAAGCCCGTCGGAGAAACCTTCCACCTGCCCCCGTCCCCCTGGTCACGCCTCGAGTCGCGCGGGCGCCGAGTGGGAGTCGGCCACTCCTGGGCATTCCCAGACGGCGACGGCGCGAATCGAGACGCGACCAGCCTCTCCCCCCGCCCCCACCCCCACCCCCCCTGGTCAGGCTGTTTCAGGGCTGGACCTAAACGTTGTTTCTCGTTTTGTTATCGTTTTGTTGTTCGTTTTGCTGCACCGGTTTTCCGGCACCTCCCTGCCAAAGCGAAGAACAAGACACAGCCGAAGTCCAGCAAAACAGCGTTTAGTTCCAGCCCTGGACTGGTTACCGGCAGGGGATAAGAGAACATTCTCAAACCTGGGGGGGACCGCGGGCAAACCGATCACCCCCTGCGCTCCTGCGTGCAGGGCGACGCGCTCCCCGCGGCGGTCTCGCAGCGTGCCGTCCGCGCACCGCCGGAAGGGCGCGCCACCTGCAGGGCCGAGGAAGGCTGGAGCAGATCAAGAGGGGCCTTCGACGTCGTCGTCGTTCTGGGGCGTTTCATCGATGCTGGCCTCTGGGTTCCCATGTCAGGACCTGGCAGGCCTGAGCTGGATCGAAACGCGAAATCGAATCGGATCGGGAACAGATCGGACGGCCAGCGAATCATCCCGAATCGAATCGAATCGAAATCGGATCGCCGCGTGTGAATACAGCTGGCCTCGGCCGATGCTGGTGAATGGAACCGAACCAAATCGAATCGGAATCGCGGCCCGAGCTGGCGAATCGAGTCGCATCGAATCGGATCGTAGGCGGCCCTGCCTGGGGTACTCAGAGGGTGGTCAGAACTCTATCCCTGGTGAAAAACCTTCGGGGATCTGCTGACCGGGGTCCATGCAAACCCCAGCCAGTCGGGCTTCAAAAATTCCTGCAAGATCCCGCAAGATCCCGCAGGGTCCTGCACCATGGTCAATGCAACCCTGGCTTTGCCGGATCCTGCAAGATCTGATGCTCTGGCTGACCCCCGTTTGCATTGACCCGTCTCTAACAGCTCGAAACCTGCCTGGATGGGCCCCTCCGGAATCGATTTTGAGCAGTTTTCGGCGACGGGCAGCCAAGAAACTCGTGGCGCCCTACTTCTGAAGGAGCAGAACCCGCCGCCCTCCAGAAGTAGCTCAATGAACCCTACAGGGGCACAGAAGCAGCGGTGGCAGCGCCACCCCCTGGCCCCACAAATCTTTCGACAGACAGAGTTCCGCCTGACATCGAATTCCAAGGGGCGGTCACTGCAATGGAAGGCAAGTACCAATGTCCTTGGGGGGGTCCTGCGCTCGGGACGTGTAGCCAAAGGTGGCAGTGAGGGCAATTACGCGTGTAGTCGCGCTGTACATTGAACACTCGTGACGACCGTCGCACCAGTGCAAATACTAGCTGTCGTCGCGGGCCTCGATGACTATGCACGTGTACACGGTTTTGATCCCCCTTCCGACGCCACCTCGGCAATCGGCCCACTGACCCGTCCTGGGACGTTCTCCCGACGGGCCGCTCGTGCAGAGTCCAGAAGTGGCGACGTGGGGCCCCCTCGGCAGACGACAAGGTGGCCGCCGAAGCACAACCATGAAGCAAGCGCTGTGGCATGGAAAACCCAAAGAACACTGGTCGCCACGACGAGCTACACTCGGAACGTTCAGATGCCAGGAGCGACGTAGGCTTATCCGAACATCTGGCTCTGAGGCGCCCCGCGCGACCGCCAAGATGTTTGGGAGGCCAGGCGAGCCGCACGCCGTATCCTTCGCTCGGTGAAGCCACCTTGTGCAGCCTGGGCATGTTGGGCAGGCGCGCACAGCGCACGAACGCAAACGCAACGACAGCCTGCGTCGCAGAATCGCACGAGAACCTCCTCCGCCTCCGCCGCCGTCGCTGCCAAAGGCAAGGCAACAGCCGCAAGGCCCACCGAAGTCTGGCCAGCCCGCATGAAGTGCGAGGCCGCCGGGGCCGTCGCTCCACAGCTGGTGCATCGACGGGTGCCTGCCACATTTGGCGGCGGAGGAGGAGGAGGAGGAGGAGGAGGAGGAGAAGGAGGAGGAGGAGGAGGAGGAGGGAGAGACTTCCAGCAGGGACAGAGCCTGGATGGCTCCAGAGAGGGTCCGTCGTCGGCGAAAAAAGCATCCGTGTCCACGGCCTCGCGGGCCGGGCCCCCGGGCAAACGACCCCGCGGAAGTACGCGGCGATCTTTCGCGGATGCGGGAGCGCGCCCCGGAATCCGGACCGCGAGGGCGTGGACATGGATACGTTCGCCGCTCGTGAGCTAAGGGGTGGAAATGGTTACCTAAGACGACCTCCCGCGCCGACTTTTCCCGCTTTCCTAATGACCTGCTGCCACCCCCCAAAGAATGAAACGGGAGAATAGCAGTAGCAGCAGTAGCAGCAGCAGCAGCAGCAGCAGCAGCAGCAGCAGCAGCAGCAGCAGCAGCAGCAGCAGCAGAGGCAGCAGCAGAGGCAGCAGCAGCAGAGGCAGCAGCAGCAGAAGCAGCAGCAGAGGCAGCAGAGGCAGCGCCAGCAGCAGCGGCGACCATGTACGGCATCTGCGGCAACGGAAGCAGGAGGGGCGGCGGTGGCAGCAGAACGGCGGACAAAAGCGAGGGGGGCCAGGGCGGTCGTCCCCATGCAGCGTCAGTCGGAGCTTCGTAACCCCGGAACCCCAACGACGTGGAGCGTGAAGATAGGAAGCTAGCGTCCGCGCTCGCTTCCGCATGGCTCGCTACCTGTCTTGCACCACATCCTCCCAGATAACGCCATCCCTCCTCCCGCCACGCATTCACTCCAGCCTCCTCCCTCCCTCCTCACTCCTCTCCCTCCCCCTCCTCCTCAACCGTCGTCCCTGCCCCCACCGCACCATGCATATCCCAGACCTGTCGACACACCCGAATCGCAAGGGATTCTGACCTTGGGTTCTTCCTCGCTTGCCGCGCTGTCTGTTCCTGAAGACCTGGAGGCTCTGGTGGTCTTTGGTGACGCTTCAGGCGGACGCTTATCGTCCCATTCTCGTCACCGACGCTGTGGCCGCCAGGAGAATCCCAGGGCCGTCCACGTGGGAAAAAGTCGGGGGTGCTTCAGGCACCTTGATCGGGGGTCCTTCAGGCACCCCAGACCTGAGCTTCTAGCCGTTGCCTCGCGCCTTGACGGCACAGCAGGCACCGAGCCTTATGTGACGGACCACCTTCCACTGTTGACGGGCTGGGAGCGAGGGTGGGCGAGCTCGCTGGGGGCAGACATCGGGACCCGCGGCTCCGAACTCAGACAGCGCCCCGCGCCCGAGGACCAGACAGGGTGACCTTGGAGCGGACCACTTTGCTCCTGAGGCTTGACGGCGCAGACCTCATGCGGCATAGGCGAGTTACGCACGCCAGCCTTGAGTATCGTTTGACCGATTCCCTTCCCCAGCGGCGTGGCCTGGACCCCACTGGCCGATTTACCCCCCTAGATGGGGATATAGGTCGTCATCTTCGGGTTTCGAGTGGTGTATCCCAAACTGGGGGGGTAATTTGGTGGGGGTCTCGAAGGGGATGGGGATGGGGATTGGTTAAACGATACCGAAGCCTTGATCTGGCGCTGACAGTGCGGCCTCTGAGGCTGCGAAGCGGTCGTGGCACCTGGCTGTCGGTTCGGACCCTCGGGCCTCGGGCCATCGTGGGGGATGCCCAGACGGCGCTCACTCGACGTCGACCTCGCCGGGCCCCGATCGAGGCAACCTCGGCCGATCCGCGCGAAAAACATGTCCTGGGAAGGCCGTCTTCTAGAGGCCCCGACGAAACTCCCAAATTTGAGCAGGCAGCGCGAGCGAGCGAGCATGGCGCCAGCTTCCGCTGCACAGTCTGCGAGTTGCAAACTCGCAAGCACGGCCTCTTAGAGGCCTGCCGAGCTTCTTGCAACTCCGCCTCGGGTTTGCACCCACTTCCCGCTGAGGTGGCGTGCTTTGTGCCAGTTCCCGTGGCCGTCGGGGGAGCGATCGTGCATCCTTCCCATAAGTTGGCCTTCTGACACGTGCACGGTCTGTGATTCTGCCAGGGGTGTGGGCCCACGAGGAGGAGGAGGAGGAGGAGGAGGAGGATTTCCTGCGAGTGCATGGTACGCCTGCGGCCCAACGCGCAGGCCCCGTATGGCGGGGTCTACGGATCTGGGCACGGACAGGGGCAACGTCCAGCCCAAGAGATGTCGCAAAGAGACCGCTTTGTACGACTCTGGGCTAGCGGAGAAAAAAAGGTTCGCTGCATGATTTGCCACACGCTGGTGGGTGAACGCTGCGAGCTGCGCTGATTCAACAGCAACTCCGAAGCAGCTGCCTCGGAAGCGGCGTGTTCGACGGCATCTGCATCTGCCAGCACCTTCGCCTCAGTCCACCCACTTGGTCAGGTAATTGCTGGACTTCAACGCGGCGGTCACCTGGTCGGAGGACATCTTCCCGTACTTGGAGACGTCTTTGGCGTTCTCCCACTCGAAGAACTTCACGCCGTCCTTGGTGACCGGTTCGCGCCCGAAGTGGCAGTACGCCGCGGTCTCCTGATACTTCGGCTCGCGCAGCGCAAGTGAGATGGCGATGGCACCAGGGCGGCAGTCGAACTCGATCTTCAGCACGTTGGTGATATCCTCGGCGCTCAGGGCGCCCTGCTCGGTGCCGTAGGTCTCCAGGAACAGGGAGAGCGGCTTGGCCACGCCGATGGCGTAGGAGAGCTGCACCAGCGCGCGCTTGCAGAGGCCGCTCTTGACCACCGACTTGGCCATCTGCCGGCAAATGTACGCCGCGGAGCGGTCGACCTTCGTGGGGTCCTTCCCGGAGAACGCGCCGCCGCCGTGGGCGCCCCAGCCGCCGTAGGTGTCGATGATGATCTTGCGGCCAGTGAGGCCGGCGTCTCCCTGGGGGCCGCCGATGATGAACTTGCCAGACGGGTTGATGTACATGTGCGTGAAGTCGCCGAATAGGGAGATAGCGGGCTTTCCGTTCTTCAACTTGATCTCGGAGAGCGTCTTCTTCACAACCTTCTCTGTAATCAACTTGTTCATCTCCTCCATGCTCGGCGCGGTCATCTCAGGACCTGTGTAGCCAGCGCACTCCTTCGTGCGCTTCGCCTTGGAAGGCTCCGCGTGCTGCGTGGAGATGACCACCGTGTGAAACTTCTGGGGCTCCACGGAGCCGTCGGCCTTCTGCAAGTACTCGATCGTGACCTGCGTCTTGCCATCCGGGCGCAACCACCAAAGCTCCCCGCTCTTGCGCACGTCTGTGAGGGTCTTGCCCAGTTTCGTGGCCACGGAGTGTGTCAGAGGCATGCAGTCCTCAGTCTCGTCGGTAGCGTAGCCGAACATGATTCCCTGGTCACCAGCCCCCACATCCAAATCCTCCTTCCCGACGTGCACGCCGCCGGCAATATCCGGGCTCTGCTTGTTGATGCGAACCAGGACCTCGCAGGTCTTGTCGCTGAGGCCCTTGCTGTCCACGCTAGAGAGGTCGTCCTCGAACGAGTCAAACCCAATCTTGCCCACCACCCCGCGCACCACCTTCTCGTAATCGATCTTGGTCTGGGTGGTGATCTCGCCCGCGACCATTACCATGTTATCCTTCGTGGCCGTCTCGCACGCCACCTTGCTCTTGGGGTCCCCGACGAGGCACGCATCCAGGACTGCGTCGGACACCTGGTCGCAGATCTTGTCTGGATGGCCCTCGTTGACGGATTCGGAGGAGAACAGGAAGACCCTCTCCGTCTTGGCCCTCTTCTGGGCAGGCTGCGCCATGGCAGAGGTCGCAAGGCTGGCGGACGGACGGAATGTGCGCGAGGCCGACGAGAGCGGCCAGGGGTAAGGAGCTCTGGAGCGAAACAGCCTGAGCCAAAATGGCTGCGGGGGGGGGGAAGCAGGAGGGCTGCCGAGCTGACCGCCGCATGTCCCAGCCCCACAAGTCCTGCAAAAGACGCTCCCGCCCCACAAGCCCAGGCCGGTGAGCACAAGCACTCGAGCGACCTAAATGAAACGGGTCTCACGCGAGGTGTCATAGCGACCTCAGGCGGTGGCTTACGCGGGCCGCCAGCGCGACACGCCACATTGGAAACGACGGCGCTAACGCGCGATCTTACGCGGGCAACTTGCGAGCCAACGTCGGCGAAGACGAACCTGTCTTTATGCGTCGCCCACGTGTCTTTCCAACATCACGCCGGCGCCCGCACGGGGGGGAAGACTGCTGTGTCCTGAGACGCTCTTCCGCGATCCCGTTTCGAGATTCAGCCGCGTGACTTCCAAGCAAATCTCAATGACGCAGCGCTCATGGGCAATCTCGTGTCAAGAGTTCCAGACAAATCTCGGTGACCTCGACAGAGAATCGCCCTCCGTCGACGGGGCCGGTAGAGATGCTGGGGCAAAAAACCTGCGAGAAAAAGAACAGGAGTACGGGTTTGACCGAGAGCTGTCCACCATCTGTGACTGTTGGCATTTCAACACGAAGGGACTTGGAATGTAAGGAGGCATCAAGCGATAGCTCGATCTGGAAGGGGAGTTGCCCTTCACGTAACGGCTGGGAGGCTCAAGATTGAGGATCCTAAGATGTAGGAAGTCTTTGACGAACACAGATTGTGAGAAGGAACCACCCTCCTTATGCGTCGCTGCTGGAGCATCCAAGCTCAGGCTTCTCGAACACCGAAGGTCGAGAAACCCCAGACATGGTGAAGATGAGTCACCATCCATCCCGATAGCTGCTTGAAGAGTTGAAGAGCAAGCAGTACAGCGCAAAGGCGACTCTGGCGAATACCACAATCTGAGAGGGTATCGCTGTCCATCCACTTCCGTGTGGAAGCTCGATAGGGTTGTCTAAGACATTGAGCGCGGCGCCAAGGCGGCATCAAGATGTTGAAGACGGCACCCTCTCTCTCGATGAAAACGACTGGTGCGCGGCGATTGAGCAAGACACAACTATTGAAAACAGTGCCCCACGCATGAAACCATGAGGATAGTTCGAGACGAGTGTGCACGGTGCGCAGGCGTGAGCCAAGTTTTCAGAGCGGCCCTCCCTCCATCGACACAAATTTTTGAAATTTAATGAACGTGCGCGACGCTAAATCACGGCCCGTGCTCTGAAGACGACCTGTTCCAAATCCAAGTGCGTGGCGCGCAGGCGAGCGCCAGATGTTGAAGACCACGTGTCCTCAGTCCGCGCAGCTGCTGGAGGATCAAGGACTGCCTCAAAGACATGAAGAAGACTCAAGCGGACCTGCCCAACCACCCTATGGATACCAATGGTGTGCCAGAAGGGGGACGGAGAAAGAACAACGACATGAGGCAATTTCAAGGGCACAAAAGCGCTCGAGGACAAACAAGGCATAGCCCCCTGCATATATCCTTTGACATGTGCCAAATATTTCGCGTCCTCGGCCAACCTTCAAATCCCAATCATCCGTCCTTAGTGGGGACATCAAAAGTTACTGATACCTCTACTCCCTGGACCTCTCCAAGGGTGCGTTCTGACATGAATTTCGACGCGAATCCAGCGGTGGCGACGAGAGCCTCCCAGGAGACCCAGAAGGAGGAAAAGGAGGGAGGGGTAGCGTATCGGCACTTGTCCTCCACTGGATCAAAAACACCTCATCCTCCTCCTCCCCCTCCTCCTCAGCCGCACATGGGGAGGCAAACATACGGCCACGTCAACCTTCCTCCGCCCTGCGCCCATCCCCAGTAAGAGCAAGCGAAGAGGCGAAGGAGGGCGGGGCAGAGAAGGGATGTTTGTACTGGACCACGCCGCTCCAACGACAATTCTTCCAACCCTAGCTTCCGACCTTTCGACGGCGCCGGGCAAATAATGAATCGAAGTCGCTCTAGGCACTCTGTCTTAAAGAAAGCTCGGCCAGCCAGGCTGGGCAAAGTGCTCTACCGACGGGAGAGGTGCGATCCGGATCGCCAGCCTTAAATCGGCAGATTGGACAGGGCTTCATGGCTCGCCCTGGCGCTCAAGCATGATCTGCTGCATCTTCCGCTGCTGCTCCTGTTCCACAGAGAGACGAGCAAAGTATGTGAAAGAGAAAAGAAGGAGAAAGAGAGGCAAAGGAGAAAGATGACAATGACAACAAGATTGCCAGAGGCCACAGCTGTGGGCTGCTCAAGGCCATACCTCCTTCCCCTGAGTTTCCCTCCCTTCGCCTCAACTCCCTTTCCCCCTTCTGACTCTTCTCCCTCCCTGGTCTATCGACGGTTTGTCCATACCCCTGTTGACTTTCCAACCCGACGAGGGGCCAGAGTGGGAGCGTGGATCTAAATCTGGCCTCTAGAACCAAGTCCTGTTGCCCATGCCACGCCCCCTCGGCAACCAGAGCTCGAGGTCCTGAGACAGTCCCAGGCCCTGCTGTCTTTTGAGGAAGAAGAGACGGCATAAAAGCGGATTTCTTGAATCGGCGCTGGGCACCCCTTCCTTGCGCGGGGTCCGGCGCCGATCTAAGAAATCTTCGCGGAGCTCCGACAGTTTATGTTTATGCAATGTTTTCGGCGGCGAGCCTGGGGGGAAGTGAGAAGGTACGGACCTTCTCAGAAGGCTCGGAAGTCCCCCGGCCTTCTGAGACGTTGCATAAGCCTTCCGCGAAGACGCAGAAAACTTCTCAGAAGGCGCGAGGACTTCTGAGAAGTCCTGCCACCTTCTGCGACGGTCTTCTCCATAACAAGGAAAAACGCCATAAACATAAACTTTTGTCGTCCTCGATTCTCCTTGTCATTCCCACAGGCGAGACCTCGGCACGGGGTGCCACCAGGAGGTGGCCCTGGCCCGAGGCGGCCCTGGCCCGAGGCGGCCCTGGCCCGAGGCGGCCCTGGCCCAGGCTCCAGGGAGGCTCACGAGGCCCGAAGCGGATCCCCCACGGCATCGTGGAAAAATCTCGACGGATGGGTTATGGTTTGTTTGTTGTTCGGCAACGCGGCGCGGAGAAGGGAAGAGATCACCCCCCAGGGCGTAGGGAGAGACTGGCCGAATGCGCCCCACCAGCATGAGGAGGAGGAGGAGGAGGAAGAAGCGGAGGAGGAAGCGGAGGAGTCGGAGGAGGCGGAGGAGGCGGAGGTGGAGGAGGCGGAGGAGGCGGACAAGGCGAAGGGGGAGGCGAAGGGGGAGGAGGAGGAGGAGGAGGAGGAGGAGGAGGAGGAGGAGGAGGAGGAGGAGGAGGAGGAGAAGGGCGGAGGATGGCGGAGGAGGAGGAGTAGGAGCAGCATGCAGCAAACCCACAGACGGATGGATTGTGGCAGTGCCCAGCCTCTGGGAGCGCCAGACCCCGAGAGCGTCAGAGAGGAGCGCCCTGGGACGAGAACGTCGGTCACGGAGAAGGGGCCCAGACCTCCCTGGGGACCACGTCGTGAGAGAGAGAGAGAGAGAGATAGGAGGAGGAGGAGGAGGAGGAGGAGGAGGAGGAGGAGGAAGGGAAGCTCGCAGGTGCTTCCCCGCATCCGCCCGAGTGAGCCTTGACTGCCGCTGACCCAGTTCCTCCTGAAGCTCCCTGGTTTCCATCCAGGCTCATCGGCATCGTTGGATTGAGGTCCCCTGATGCTGAGACCGTGCAGGCCTTGATGCAACCGCCAAAAAGCACAGCAACTATCCAATGATCAGACGTTGTCCGCAATCCGGCCCTGCTCCCGGTGCTAATGTTTGAGCCATCTTGTCACTCACACATAACCATGCGCCACACGACACCATTCACGGCATTGGCGTTACTATCCTGATGAATGGCAGCGACGGCGTTGTCGCCAGTGTCAGCGTCATCATCGTTATCGTCATCAACGTCGTCTCATCGCTACCACAAGCTCAAAAAGGCGCTAGATATAGAGCGACAAAGAGATGCAACTGGAAAATTAAAGCGGCCGATAATGGCAGGAGAGAGGTCCTGTTCCCTCAGCTCGTCCATCGCGCAGAGGCCGGGGGTCCATGGCAGGCCCAAGGCCCGGACAAACGCCTTCCCGTCTCAAGTCGGCGGCGAGACCGAAGGGGAAGTGAGAAGGGGCGGGCCTTCTCAGAAGGCTCTGAAGTCCCCCAGTCTTCTGAGAAGACTTCTGAGCCACCCCCGAAGACACAGAAAACTTCTCAGAAGGCGCGAGGACTTCTGAGAAGTCCCACCACCTTCTGAGAGGGCCTTCTCCTTGTTCCTTCCCCCCCTCGCTCGTCGCAAAGGGAGGAGGATGAGCGCAAGAGGCCCCCGCCCCGGCCGCTCCTTCGCCCCTCACTCTCGTGACCCGGCCCATCCCCTCTCCCCAATCCCCCCATCAGCCCCTCACGTCTGCCTGTCCCTGTGACCCACCCTCCACCTCTCTCTCCGTCAATCGCCTCCCATCCGGATCCTGCCCCTCCTCCTGTGAGCTGTGAGCTGACGGCGTGAAGATCGGTACCGATGTCGTCCTCCCCCCCAAGCTCCTCCTCCTCCTCCTCCTCCTCCTCCTCCTCCTCCTCCTCCTCCTCCTCCTCCTCCTCCTCCTCCTCCTGCTCCTCCGCCTCCGCCTCCTCCTCCTCTTCCACCACCCCCTTCCCTTACAGAGGAGCGCCTTTCTGTCGCACACGCAAGCGTGTCGGCAGGGCGGGCCGGGCGTGTCGCTTGAGACCTCCTCACCACTTGTGGCCCCGAAGCTCGAAAGTTGCGCCAAAAAAGTGTCGACGATTGGAAGGGGGGCGTTTCAAAGAGTGGTCCTCACCACCTGTGGCACTTCCTCACAAGCTGCGCAAAAAGTGTCTGGGATAGGGGGGGGCGGCGCGTTTTCAAAATGTGGCCCTCGCACAGGCGCCGCGCACACTCGCGTCAAAAGTATGCAGCAGCGTCGAAGATAAAAGGGCGGTCCGTGATCAGAGTGTGGCTCTCTCCCTTCGCTCCGCACGCGTTCGTCTCAGTAGTTTGCGACAGCTTCAAGGAGGGGGGTGGGCAGCTCCTTCTCAAAGTGCGGCTCTCGCCCTGGCGCCGCGCACCTTCGTCTCAAATGTTTGCGGCAGCTTCAAAGATACGACTTAGGATTGTCAGAACGCAACGGTTCCGTTCATCCACGGCGTGGAGGTCCCACACACTGTCGCCTGGCAGGACTGAAGCTATTTAGACGGTTCTTTTCTGATTGGCCACTTCCCGCAAAGAAAAACATTGTAGAGACAGATGAAGTGGTAACTTGGAGGGAGGGCGATTGCAAAATCGTTGATGCGTATTGGGTGTGCACTGGTCCTCCTCCTGCTCCTCCCGATTCCTGACTCCTGACGGCATGAAAAATCGTCGATCGCTGCCCTCCTGCTCGGCCTACTCCTCCTCCTCCTACTCCTCCTCCTCCTCACCCTCCTCCTCTTCCTCATCCTCCTCCACCTTCTCCTTATCCTTCTCTGTCTCCGCCTCTTCATCCGCATCCTCATCCTCCTCCTTCTTCTTATCCTGTTCATTGTGATTCGTCTTCAAAATGTGCGTTTCCTCTGCGTGACTCTCTTTATCTTCCTTCGTGCTTTCCTCCTTCGCCTCCTTTCCTCATCCTCCTCCTCCTCCTCCTCCGCCTCCTCCTCCTTTCCCCTTGCCCTCTCCGTCTCTCTCTCTCTCTCTCTCTCTCCCTCACTCCCTCACTCCCTCGCTCCCTCCCTCCCAAAACTCCCTCCCTCCCTACCCTACCCCCCCTTCCTCCATGCCTCCCTTCCTCCCATCCTCCTGTCTCCCTCTCTTCCACGGTTGGGAGCCTGCCGAACCCAACGTAGCTCTACTATCAACCCCCCCATCCCCATCCCCTTGCTCGCGGAGCACGTGGCGGCGAAGAGCCGAGGGCACGTGGGGGGGGGAGGAGGAGGAGGAGGAGGAGGAGGAGGAGGAGGAGGAGGAGGAGGAGGAGGAGGAGAAGGAGGAGGAGGAGGAGGACATCAGAATTTGGACATCAGGAATGTCGTGGGCCAACCAACCCTCGTGGGATGGTTGAGGGGACCGCCCCGCGAAGCTCCTCCGTGCCCGACAGGCCTATGGGGCCGCATCGCTAGGGCGTCGGGCAGCGTTGAAGCGCCCTGCCCGGGCAGGCCGGGGCAGGCGCGACAGCGCCCCCTGAAGAGGGGGGAAAGGAACGGGGGGGGGAGGGTGAGAAGGCGGAGCGGGCAGGGGCAGGGGCGGGAGAGACGGGGGCACGGTCCAGCAGCGGCCCCGGCTCGGCTGGCGATTCTGGGCCGCCGCGCCGTCGACCCAAAATCCGCCCCCGCGCGCCCCGGCCCCCCGGGGCCGATTCTGGGTCGCGGCGCTGGCGACCCAGAATCACGGGGGGGGCGTTTCTACGCCTGGCGGGGACGGCTCGGCGGGGACGCGCTGCTGACGTTGAAGCGCCCTGCCCGGGCAGGCCGGGGCAGGCGCGACAGCGTTCCCTGAGGAGGCGGGGGGCGCAGAGTGGGGGGGGGAGGGGGCGGAGCAGGCACGGCGGGGGGAGGGGAGGAGGGCGGGGCGGCGCACCGCCCGCGGTCGGGCCTCGTCCAAGCACCCTGGTGCTGATTCTGGGTCGCCGCGCCGTCGACCCAGAATCCGCCCCCGCGCGCCCAGCCGCCCGGTGGCCGATTCTGGGTCGCGGCGCCGCCGGCCCAGAATCCAGCGCCCGCGGGTCTACGCGCCGCGGGCGACGACGGCGGCGACTGCGACTGGGCTGGCGGCGACAAGGGGGGGGCGGCGGCGGCGGGCGGGCCGGCCGGCCGGGCCGGGCGCCGCCCCGCCGACCCAACGCGCGGCCCCACAGCTTCCAGGCTCCCTGGGGCTGATTTTGGGCCGCCGCGCCGTCGACCCAGAATTGACCCGCGCGCCCAACCGCCCGGGGGCCGATTCTGGGTCGCGGCGCCGCCGGCCCAGAATCCAGCGCCCGCGGGCCCACGCGCCGCGGGCGACGACGGCGGCGACGGCGACTGGACAAGCGGCGACGCGGGGGGCGGCGGCGGGCGGGGCTGGCCGGCCGGGCCGGGCGCCGCCCCGCCGGCCCACCGCGCGGCCCCCCGGCAGCCAGGCGCCCTGGGGCTGATTCTGGGCCCCCGCGCCGACGACCCAGAATCCGCCCCCGTGCGCCCAGCCGCCCGGGGCCCGATTCTGGGTCGCGGCGCCGCCGGCCCAGAATCCAGCGCCCGCGGGCCCGCGCGCCGCGGGCGACGATGGCGGCGACTGCGATTGGGCTGGCGGCGACAAGGGGGGGGCGGCGGCGGCGGGCGGGGCCGGCCGGCCTGGCCGGGCGCCGCCCCGCTGACCCAACGCGCGGCCCCACAGCTTCCAGGCTCCCTGGGGCTGATTCTGGGCCGCTGCGCCGTCGGCCCAGAAACGCCCCCGCGCGCCCAACCGCCCGGGGGCCGATTCTGGGTCGCGGCGCCGCCGGCCCAGAATCCAGCGCCCGCGGGGCCACGCGCCGCGGGAGACGACGGCGGCGACGGTGACCGAGGGCGGAGGCGATGGCGTAGGGGGGGGCGGCTTTTCTACGCCCTGCGCGCGTGCACGTGGGCGCCCGCTACCCTCCCCACGAACTCTACCTTCAGCGCGAGCTCGGCAAGGTGCGCGGTGTCGGAGAGGGCCCACTCGGGGACGCCGCAAGCCAGGGCGGCGTCGCCCACGCGCGCCCGCAGCACGCGTCGGAATGCGTCGACGACCGGGCAATCCGCGAGCAGGTGGTGGAGGCCAGCTGCCTCGCCGCCGCAGAGGGCGCACGCCTCGCCCGGGACAGGCTGGAGTTCCACGCCCCAGACGACCCCCGGGATGGCCCCCGACACGCGCGCCACCATCCACGCCCTGTGGTACTTCCACATGGCCTGGGACCACGGCGCGAAGCGGACCTCCGGAGCCCACGGCTGGTGGAGCGGGAGGAGCGCGACCAGCGGCAGCAGCCCTGTGTCCGCCAGCCGGCCGACTTGCTCCGCGAACCAGCGCGCCTCCGCCGCCTCCATGAGTGGGTCCACCACCCGCGCCGTCCATGAGCGCACCAGCGCCCGCCGTCGCGCAGGGGAGGCCCCCGGCTCCGGGGCCGGCCACTCGGCGATCCCCACGCCCCGCGCTACCTCCTCCGCGTCGCTCAGCCAGGTGCGCACCCCCGGGGACGCCACCGCCGCCTGGAGCACCTCCGAGATGGGCGACGGGTGGGGGAGGAGGAGCATCCGGGCCCTGGCCGTGATGACCCGCTTGGTCAATTTGGTGCCAAGCCGGGTGAGGAGTCTCGCCTCCAGAAAGGCGCGGACGTGCCCGCCCGGGCCCAGCGACCACGGCCGCGTGGCCCCCGCCAGCAACATCTTGGCCACCTCGTAGTAGGCGCGGTTGACCCTGGTGAGGACCGCGGGCCAGCCAACCTCGCAGGATGCGAGGAGCTCGGCCCCGAACAGGGCCGCCGATTCGACCCTGGCCGGGACTTGCGTGAGCTGCAGCGGGACGCCGAATCCGCTGTCCGCCATGGCCGCAATCAACCGGCGGGCACCCGCCAAAAGCTTGGCGCACGTCCGGTCCAAGAGGGGGCGAAGGCTGAGCGCGTTGTCGATGGGCGTGCCGAGAACATCCAGCGAGGCCACGGCCCGGAACGCCTCCCCCGCGATGGCGCCGCACGCGGCGGCGTCGGGGTCAGCCCCGGCCACCGCCATCACCGCGGGCCCCTTGCTCGCCCCGCCCTGAAACCGGTGGCGCCAGCGCGTGCACCAGGCGGAGAGCGCCTCCGCCACCGCCGCCACCTCGGGGTCCGTCTCTCTGGCGATGAAGGAGTCGTCGACGAATTGGAGCATGGAGAAGGACAGCGCGCCGGCCTCGGACGCGGGCGGCCCGAGCGCCACACCGGGGCCAGCCCCCACGCCCGCGTCGATGAGCCCCCGTACCAGGACCCCGAAAAGGTGGACACCAGCCCTGCGCCCCTGGCCGACGCCGAAATCAGCCACCTGGAACGCCGCTGCCGCCAGGGCGCCCAGGCGGACACGCACCTGCTCGGGCCCCAGCGAAGAGTCCGCCGCGACCCACCACCGCCCCCGAACCCCCGCGAGCCAAAGGCCGAGGCGCACGGCGTCCCGCCAGGCGAGGTCGAACCCGTGCAGCAGGTCTGCCTTGGCCAGGACCGTCCTGAGGCCGGCCGCACGCCGGAGCTGCAGCAGCATTAGCAGCCCCCCCGTCATCAGCACGGCGTCGAAACGCCCGCCCGCTTGGGGGGCGCCGGCGAAGGCCTCCAGGTGGCCGCGGGTCGCCTCCAGCCACGCGGCGTCGAAGAAGCCCTCGAGGTCATCTACGTAGGAGACGGGTCGGAGATTCCCCAGGGCCCTGACGACCGGGGGGCCGCGCTTGCGGAGGAGGAGGGAGGAGGAGGAGGGAGGAGGAGGAGGAGGAGGAGGAGGAGGAGGAGGGAGGAGGAGGAGGAGGAGGAGGAGGAGGAGGAGGAGGAGGAAGAGGAGGAGGAGGAGGAGGAGGAGGAGGAGGAGGAGGAGGAGAGGAGGAGGAGGAGGAGGAGGAGGAGGAGGAGGAGGAGGAGAGGAGGAGGAGGAGGAGGAGGAGAAGGAGGAGGAGGAGGAGGAGGGGGGGGAAGAGGAGGAGGAGGAGGAGGACGACGACGAGGAGGACGAGGACGAGGAGGCGGGGGGGGAAGAGAAGGAGGATGAGGATGGGTTAGGAAGAGGAGGAGGAGGAGGAGGAGGAGGAGGAGGAGGAGGAGGCGGATCAGCGTAAGCCAAAGAGTCAGCAAAGAGTCATCAACGACGTTGGAATAGAGCCTCACTCCAAGCTCCCTCTTCACAGGCTCCTACAACGCTTCATTTCCACCGATGGAGCTGCCTCGTGGGAAGACAACCGTCTGAGGACCCTGAAGCATGCCAAAACAGTGTTCTCGGGACTCGAACGCCACGGATCAATGTGACTGCTTCGTCTTGACGATCCTGAAGTATGCCAGAACGCCATTCCTGGGACTTCAACACCACGAATCAACGTAACTGTTGCACCCTCAAAATCCTGAATCCTTCCAAAACACCATTCCTGGTACGCTGATTATGAGCGTCCACCAAATTCTTGCAAATGTGCTACACGAATGTGCAGGGCGCTAGCTAACGCGAGAGCCGCATTTTGAAAACTGGCCACCCTCAATCCATGAAACTCTTGCAAATGTTTAGAACGAATGTGCGCGGCGCTAAGGCGAGAGGCGCATGTTGAAAACGGCCCGCCCTTCATCTTTGAGACTGTTGCCCATGTGTAAGCTTCAGGGTCATAAATGGCGAGGAGGTCTCAGGCGAAACGCCTGACCCACCCTACAAACTGGCCTCGGGGTGCGACAGGCAGAAGTTATTCATGAGGAAAAAGAATGGAGGAGGAGGAGGAGGAGGAGGAGGAGGAGGAGGAGGACACGCTCTCGAAGCGTGGTGACCAGCCGCCCAGCTACGATGTGAAACATAGTACGGGCATTTCTCGACGTATTCACCTTGATGCCCAATGATACCAGCATCTGTCCAGCAAGTTCCCAACGTAGCTTGAGTTGCGTCCACCGTCTAGGTCGTATTTCTCGATCAGAAGGAGGAGGAGGAGGAGGAGGAGGTGCCTCCGAAGTCAGCACGCTGTCTCCAAGAGGCCCCAAGACTACCCCAAGATGGCCCCCGTGGCCCAAACATAGCCCCAAACAACCCTAAAATGCAACTGGTGGGCCCCAAATCACTCCAGTCTGGCGCAAGAGGCCCACAGATAACGGAAACTATCCCCCGATTGGTTCCACAACGGCTGGAGGAACATAAAGGCCAATAGGGGCGAAAGAAGAGGACCAGCTTCTCTGACGCCTTTCTGAACGCGCCACTGCATCGAGGAAAGCGCCCAGCGGCGGAACCTAAACCAGCTGAGTGCAGGAGCCGATCTTTTGTGATAACGCCCATGAAGGGACCCCCCCTCTGCTCCTTGGTCACGACACGATTCGCGGCGGCGCCGACGGGATCACGGCAATTCTTGGGCATTCCTCGACGGCACGGCGCCCGCGCGAATCGTGGTGACGTGGCCAGTGCCCTCCCCACTCCCCTCCCCCCCACCGCGGGCACGCCCGTTGTCGCCGGGGGATACAAAACTGTTTCCAGCAGACTTCACACCCCCCTCCCTTTCCCACCACGCATACGCCCTTTCGTCCAACCCGATCCGCACCGAAGGGACAATGAGAGGACGGGGGGACCTGGCGCTGCGCGGCAAGACCCGGGCAGGCCTAGGTCCAGAGACGAGCAAGCTCGGGAATGCCCACCCCCCGCGGCATGCAGTCCGAGGGGCCTGCTGCGCAGCAGCGACGAGGATGCGTGCTGCTCCTCCTCATCCTCCCCCCCCGCACCTCGCCCTCCTCCCTCTTCGTCGGGAATGCACCGCGCGCTTCCATGATTGAGCAGGCGAGAGGATCGGAAACCAACTCTTGAGGACAATCAGGTGCCCTCTCCGACGAGCCCCTGCCAGTCAGCACAGGCTCCCACGGGTTGGGCCGGGCTCTCCAACCTGGCTGCTGCCTCCCCTCGGACGGAGCCCTGAGGTTAGTAATTCCCCGATCACCTGGAGACTTGGGCACTCTGAAGCTTCGCATCGCCACCTTCCCTCCTCCTGCTGATCCCACCTCCTCCTACCCTTCGGTGGCAACTTATGGGAGCCTCCCATACTATCTTGTCGGCTCTTGCGAATCGACGCTAGTCGACGCTAATTCGACGCTAATCGACTCTAACTCGACGCTCATCGGCGCTAACCGACTCTAATCGTCGCTGTCTCGTCGACTCCCAGACGCTAATCGACGCTAATCGACGCTAAAGACGGAATTAAGAGGGTACACAGGGCTCCCATGATTTGCTACCGAACTACCCGTCCCAGATCCCCGTCCAGGAAGAGCTCCACGTACGCAGGCGGGGCATAGTGCCGCTGCTTGGGGTCCCACGGCTTGCAGCAGGCGAAGTGCACAAGGGCCGCGCTGGCCGGCGTAATCCCTCCGGCCAACAGGTCCCGAGGTGCGGCACAGGGAGCCAACAGAGGTTCATCGAGCAGGCCCGAGTGGGAGCATCACAAGCAAGGGTCGGTCGGAGAGACAAGAAACTGCTGCCGTCACTCCACCACGACGCTGCCACCCAGGCCTCCTACTCTAAGCAGTAGATCTCAGACAACGGCATGGCTCAAAGGACGAAATAGCTTACAGATGATATGACAAGGACGAAGCAGTCGGAGGAGAAATAGAAAGAGAAGGCGAGTGAGAAAGAGGAGGATGAGGAGGACGATGGCGGCGAGAAGCACAGGATATGGAATGGAAACACCCCTGCTCTCTCTCTCTCTCTCTATCTCTGTTTCTCCCTCCCCCCTCCTCCAGCAGCTCAACATAAGATTCGAAACCAAACCTGAGGGGGACAGAAACGCCTGCGTCCATTTTTCGATCGCAAACGTTGCTCAGCTCGTGGCTCGCTCCTCGTTGCAGCTACCGTCAAATCAGATCTTCTTGAGGCACGGTCCCCACCAGGTGGGTCAGGGACCATGTAGTCTCATGCAGAAAGCGCTCGGTATCCGAAACAGCACGCGCTTTTCGCGCAGGACGGCTCCTAACCATGACTCGGGCTGGAGGCAGAGGACGCCAGCGAAACCTGTGCAAATCGATTCCAGACGCAACAAGAGAGTTCCAAAAAGATGTCGAGGCGGCCAAAATCGTCGAAAATCATATGAGAATCCACTAAAACTTGCAAATCAGCTTCATATGGAGCTCGAAGGAGCCACATGACATCCAAGAGGATCCCAAACAGGCCACGAAAATGAGTCCCAGAGGGTCCGAAGACGGCGCAAGAAGGACCCGAGAAGCCCCGGGACATACTCCCGAAGGCACCGAGACGACCCAAGAGAGCCCCAAGAGGATTCAGGGAAGCCCAAAAAGATCCCCGATTGATCCCAAAAAGGCCACAACAGAGACCGAGGAGAGCCCCAGAGGGCCCAGGGTTAGCCCAAAGAGGAGATCCGAGAAAGCGGGCAGTAGGAACCCAAGAAGACCCCAAGGGACTCTTGAGATACCCTCAGACGTCTCCATTGTCCACTGCACTGGCTTCGCACCGCCCCCAGCGCACCATGCCACCAGCGGCTCCCAAAAGGAAATTTCCGACTGTCTTCCATGGTTTTGGCTTCATACAACAGTGGCGAACAAGAACCCCGTGGAATACCGAACCCTCGATCAACACACCGCCCATGTTTCCCCGACGCGGGCATCACACAACACCCGACAACGTCCCACTCAAAGCAAACAATCAACCAAATGGCGACAATGGTGCAATACGGGCCAGCGGAGACTCACGATGGAAGGCGGTGGGCCTCTGCGGGCCCTAGCCAGAGCTCTCGAAGCTCTCGCCTTTCGACAGCACTGCCAGAATCATCGGGGATCTTCTGACACGGGTCAATCCAAACCAGGGTCAGTCAGGCATTACAGAATCCTGCAAGATCCTGCTAGACCCTGCACCCAAACCCGGGTCAATGCGAAGGATCCTGCAAGATACTGCAGGATCCTGCACCCAAACCCGGGTCAATGCGACCCTGCCCCTGCAGGATCCTGCAAGCTCCAGCGCTCTGGCTGATCCCCGTCTGCATTGACCCCCGTCTCGTAAAACCCGAAATCATCCACTCGCTCCCTGCCCGGCCCCTCCAGTATACAGCGGTCTCAAGTGGTAGCGCACGTTGAAGTTATACTTGGCGGGCAGCAGCCTCCACTGCGGTCTGGGCTCTCCAGGTCCGCAGGCGTTGACGCCTGCCCGAGCGACCGCCCGCCACAGTGGAGAGCGACAGGTAGCGTGGCGATGGGCGAGAGAGACAGGAGCAAAGAGACAATGTTCTTCCCATCGCTCGGACATCCATTCCCCGTGTATTTTTCGGCTTCGTGCGCGTACGTTTCTCGCGAGATGATCCAAGCTGCTCCTCGATGGTCCCCGCCGAGGACAATGCACACGTCTGGGCGATGCCAAGGCGAGAGAGAGAGAGAGAGAGAGGAGCAAGGAGACAGGCTGAGGGCAGAGGAGAGGAGGGCGCACTGTCCGAATCCCATGACCGAGGCCTTACGTGCCACGGAGCACGGCCCCGCCTACAAATCACACACCCGTGGACTCGAGCCAGTAACTCACGCCAGAACGCCAGCAACAAGGAGGCGAGGCAAACGCAGCGGCAAGCAGGCGACAAAGCACTCGCCCTGGGAAGCCCGGCGTCTCCAGCCCTTCCAAGCACCGCCGCGCAGGCCTCACCACGGAGCCCTGCCCGTGAACCCACGCCCTGTGCGGCCCAGCGGACCGCAAGCTCAGCTAGCGGCGCCAACGCCGCGAAGGACGAGGAGGAGAAGGAGGAGGAGGAGGAGGAGGGAAGAGGAGGAGGAGAAGGAGGAAGAGAAGGAAGAGGAGGAGTGAACAGGAGGAGGAGGAGGAGGAGGAGGAGGAGGGAAGAAGAGAAGGAGGAGGAAAGAGAAGGCGGAGGAGGAGGAGGGAAGAGGAGCAGGAGCAGCAGGAGCAGGAGGGAGGAGGAGGGGGAGGAGGCGGCGGAGGAACCAGAGGGAGCCGAGCAAATCCAACGATGCTGCAATACTGAGCATCGTTTATCCGACCCCCATCCACAGCAGCGTAGCCTGGGCTCCACTGGCCGATTTACCCCCCTAGATGGGGATGTAGGCCGTTCCCTTCGGGTTTCGAGGGGTATATCCCCGACTGGGGTGGTAATTTGATGGGGTTCTCTCGAAGGGGATGAGGATGAGGATGGGGGTCGGTTAAACGATACTGCAATACGCCCGCCCGTCCCAAGTCTCATTGCACCGGCCTTGCAGACGTGCTGCAGCGGATCTCTGCGTGGATGTCTGCGTGGATGTTTGCCCGAAACAGCGAGCGAAAAGCGAAGTGAGTTTCGCGTGAATGTTTTGGGGCCTTCATCCCTGGCCACGAAAATCCGCACGAAATTCACCTCGAAAGCCAGAACGAGATTCTCCAGGACACTCCAGGCCCATCCCATTGTTTTCCAAAATAGATCTACTCCGCGATGTTGGCGCCACGACGAGTCCCCTCTTCACTGGGTACCTGGGATGGTAAGTTAGTGGGGGTCTCGAAGGGGATGAGGATGGGGATGGGGGTCGGTTAGACGATACTGCGATACGCCCGCCCGTCCCAGGTAATGGGCAACACACACGCTCTGGCGACGACGATTTGATGCCCAGACAAGACATGCAACCTTGGCGGCATCCTTGCTTGCTCAGCGGGTTCGAGCAAAGACACTATGATATATGGAGATGCTGTGCATCCCGTCGACGCTGTGGTACTGGTGCCGAAAAGACAATGCAAGACAATGCATCCACCAACCAACCCTAACGAACCAACCCCAACCAACCAACCAACCAACCAACCAACCCCAACCAACCAACCACCAAGTCCCCTCCTCACTGGGTACCCGCAGGCACTCCCCCGAACCGCGAGGGGCGCCCCTTTCCGGAAGACGAGCACCCCGTGGGCGGGCCCGCGTTCCGCCCCGCATCCTCCCAGCGAGTTGCATGAAGCGCGGAGGCAAGGGAATCAAAAAGGAAACAATAAAACAAGCAACCACACCAACAGCAACAACAAAAACAAGCAGCCACAACAAGCAATCATAACAACAACAACAACAACAACAACAACAACAACAACAACAACAACAACAACAACAACAACAACAACCACAACCACAACCACAACCACAACCACAACCACAACCACAACCACAACAACGACAGCAGCAGCAGCAGCAACAACAACAACCACAACAGCAGCAGCAACAGCAGCAACAGCAACAGCAACAGCAACAGCAACAGCAACAACAACAATAACAACAACGGCAACAGCAGCAGCAGCAGCCACAACAACTGCAGCAGCAGCAGCAGCATCAGCAACAACAACAACGACAACAAAAACACAAAAAAACACAACAACCATAACAACAACAACAACAACAACAACAACAATATCAACAACAGCAGCAACAACAGCAGCAACAACAAGCAACCACAACAACAACAACAATACCAGCAACATAAACAGCAACAGCAACAATAAGAACAACGGCAACGGCAACAGCAACAACAACAACACCAATAACAACAGCAACAACAAGCACAGCAACAACAACCACCATCACAACAGCAACAAACAATGCATACACAGCAACCATAACGACAACAACAGCAGCAGCAGCAACATAAATAGGAACAACCACCATAAGAACAACAACGATCACAACAACAATGCACCAACAGCAACAACACAACAGCAACGTCGACAACTGTAACAACAGCAGCGACAGCAATAGCAACAGCAGCCACAACAACAACACGAATAGCAACAACCATATCATCGACAACAACATCAAAGGCAGCAACAACAAAAGCAACACAACAGCAACAGCAACCATAGCAGCAACAGACAGCAGCAGCAGCAACACCAGCAACAACAACAGCAAGAACAACAACAACAACCACAACAACAACGACAACGACAACGACAACGACAACGACAGCGACAGCGACAACGACAACGACAACGACGACGACAACGACAACGACAACAACATCAACGACAACAACCGCAACAGCAACAACAACGAAAACAACAAGAATCATTAGTTTAAGAGTGTTCGCTCTTATGTGCGTGAGTGTCATTCAACGCGTATTTCCCAAGCCCTCGATACCCGCCCTCTTCGTCTTCGATCGTACCCCTTTTGGGGGGTATACTTTTTTCCCCTGCAGGCCGGGCCCCGGCAAAGCGGGCGGCGAGACGGCCGCGGACCGTCGGCCTGGCCAGCGGCAACCCGACCGCGGCAACCCGACCCCAAGAGGGACGGACAAGGGACCGACCACGACGACGACGACGACGACGACGACGACGAGCGAAAGCACGAGCGAGAGCGAGAGCGACAGCGGGGCCACGAAGGGCCCTGATGGGGCCACGAAGGGCAGAAATGAAGCCACGAAGGGCGACAGCGGGGCCACGAAGCGCATGCATATAGTGCCACGACGTGCGCGAACGAGCGGGGGCCACGAATGGCAGATAATGCGGGGCGACAAAAGGGCAACGACGGGGTCCCTGACGGTAGCAAGGGGACCACGTAGGGCAGCGAGGGGGCCACAAAGGACGACAGCAGGGCCACGAAGGGCATGCACATGGGGCCACGACGGGCGCGAAGGAGCGGGGGCCGCGAAGGGCATGCATACATTGGGCCGCATGGGGGAAGGACGAGGCCCCTGAGGGCAGCGGCGGGACCACGAAGGGCTGCAACGGGGTCACGAAGGGCAACAGCGGGGCCACGAAGCGAATGCATATGGAGCCACGACGGGCGCGAATGAGCGGAGGCCACTAAGGACATACATATATGGGGCCACGAAGGGCAGCGAGGGGAACACAGGGCGACAACGGAGCCACGAAGGGCAGCGAGGGGGCCACGAACGGCAGCGAGGGGGCCACGAAAGGCTGCAACGGGGCCACGAAGGGCAGCGAACGGACCACGAAGGGCTGCAACAGGGCCACAAAGGGCAGCAAGGGGGCGACGAAGGGCGACAGCGGGACCACGAAGGGCAGCGAGGGGGCCACGAAAGGCTGCAACGGGGCCACGAGCGGCAGCGAGGGGGCCACGAAGGGCTGCAACAGGGCCACGACTGGCAGCGAGGGGGCCACGAAGGGCTGCAACGGGGCCACGAAGGGCAGCGAGGGGGCCACGAAGGGCTGCAACGGGGACACGAAGGGCAGCGAGGGGGCCACGACGGGCTGCAACGGGGCCACGAAGGGCAGCGAGATCCCGATTCCCAGATAAGCTGCGAGGGAGTCCTAAGAGTGAGCGTGACTCGTGGTTGCCTGAGTGTCGGGGGCGCGGCGCTTGAGTAAATTGCGGGGAACTCCATCGCAAGAGGGCAATTCTGAAGTAACTTGCAAGCAAGTCTCCAACGAGAGCGCGGCTCAAGAGCGCCGAGAGAACGATCCCTGCATAAATTGTAAAGACGTCCCAAGCGAGAACGCGATTCCCGAGTATAATGCGAGGAAGTCTCAGGCGGGAGCGGGGGTCCTGGCTAAATTGTGAAGAAATCTCAGGCGGGATAACCCGGGGACCAGGGGCACAGTTTGAGCCTCGTGACTCTCCCTGCTGAGAAACAGGTTGCGAGCCCTGGGAGAAGCACTTCAATTAAAAAACACAATGGTCACCGGAGGGGGGAATCAACAATAGTTGTTCGTCAGCAGCGAGAGCTCAACAACAACAACAACAACAACAACAACAACAACAACAACAACAGCAGCAGCAGCAGCAGCAGCAGCAATCATTACAAGACTGCTCGCTTCTATCTGCTCGCGTGCCATCCAACACGTATATCCCGAACCCTCGATACCCGCCCCCCTCGTCGTCGATCGTACCCCCCTATCTTCCTTACCTGCCACGTGCATTTAGCGCAGCAAATTCAAGGGGGGAAAGGAGGACGGATGGAAGAGGGAGGGGGAAGGATGGAGCAACAGAGAAATCAGGAGGAGGGGGGCCAGGAGCAGAAAACACGTAGCAGAACCAGACGGGCTGACCGCGCGGGCAGACCCTAGCGAGCTAGTCGGGAAAGCGGACCCAGGCGGCCAGGTCGAGCAAGCGGGTTGCTGAAGCGTGAGTCCTGCACGAATCGCAAGGAAGCCTCGAGCGATGGCGCGATTCCCGCGGAAATCGTGAGGAAAGCTGAGGCGAGAGCGTGATTCCTGAATGTCGAAGGCGCTGCGACTGAATACAATGCGAGGGAGTCCCACGCGAAAGCGGGATTCTTGCATCAATTGTCTGGAAGACCCGCTCGAAAGCACGAGTTTCGAAAAATGGTGTAAAAAGTATAAAGCGGGAGCCGTTGTTGTTGCAGGTCGGGGCCCAACAACGCAGTCTGGTGACCCCTTGCTTTCCCCTGTTAAAAACAAGGGTGCGAGCCCCGTCAGGAACACTTGAATTCAAAACAAAGTGTGAATCCCGAGGGGAACACTTTAATTGAAAAATGCAATGGTTACCGGGTAATGAGGATCAACAGCACTTACTCTTTAGACATGACAATTCAACAACTATCATTTTAAGACTGTACGCTGTTACGCTGTTACCTGATCGCGTGCCGACCAAGCCGTATATCCCAAACCCTCGGCACCCGCCCTCTTCGTCGTCGATCGTACCACCCTGGATGGTATATCTTCCTCACCTGCCGTGTGTGTTTGGCGCAGTCCCTGAAACAGGAGGAAGGAAGACGGATAGAGGAGGGAAGGGGGAGATGGAGCACGGGATTAGCAAGAGGGGCTGGCCCAAGCGGCCAGGTCGAGCAGGCGTGTTGCTGAAGCGTGAATATTGCATGAATCGGGAGGGGAGCTCGAGCGATAGCGCGATTCCTGAGTGTCGAGGACGCGGCGTCTGAATACAATACAACGCGAGGAAGTCTTACGCGAGAGCGCGATTCTTGTACCACTTCTGAGGGAGTGCCGCGCGAGAGTGCGGTTTGGGAATAAATTGTGAGGAACTATCAGGAGGGAGCCGTTGTTCTTGTTGTAACTCGGGGGCCAGGGACCCAATTTGGTGACACCTTGCTTTCCCCTTTACAGATATATACATGTATATATATGTATGTATACACACACTAGTGTGGACCCGTGGATTAAATCCACGAAGTTGAGCGGATCGAAGCATGGTGGCGCGCGCTGGGTGGTGCGACGCTGCCAGCTACTGCCGTAGATCCCTTGAAGCTTGTTCTAGTGCTGTTCCCCCACCGAAGGCGCCCAATGCATCGAAAGGGGGCCGAAGTGTTCGAGCTTCGCAAGAGGCAGAAATTCAGGAGTCCAGGCCTGAGCAACGTTGGAAGATTCGCGCGGGGATCGCGGCGGACGCAGGAGCGGGTTCGGGCAAACGCGGCGCCGTCTCGGGCCGCGTCGCAGCCCCATGGCCACCGGAGCGTCAAAACATGTTTTTTGTGCCTGCGAGGGGCCGACCCCCTCTATTGAAAGCAATTTTAAAGCTTCTTGGGAACCGTTTGGGAGCTCTACGGGGGCTGTTTCGGGCTCCTCGGGGGCTTCTCGGAGCCCTCTTGGGCCGGCAGGGCGCCTCGCGGGCCGTCTTGGTGTCGTCTTGGGCCATCTTGGGCGCCTGAGGGCCGTCTTGGGGCCATCGTGGGCTGTCCTGAGCCCCTCTTGGGCCTCTCGTAGGGTCCTCTTGGGTCGGGGGTCCCCCAGGGGCTTCGCACCCTCTGTTTTGACGAGGTTCCGAGGCCCCTGGGGGGCTCTCTGGAAAACCCCCTCCCCAAAAACCCCCTGTGGGACCCTCCAGCTCGTGGCCCAGGTCCCAATCAGTCCGGGGCCTGGGTCCGAAGTTCAGGTCCGAGCTCCGGTTTGATAAAATTCCAGACGACAATGCAGCTGCCAGCCAACCCCTGGTCCAACGGCCAGTCCACGACCACCAAATGACCTCGGGAGCGCCCCGGATCGGCGGCACAGGCCAGCTTTGGAAACGCGGCGGACGATGCGTCAAGCGAGAATCCCGCTTTGGAAAAGAACGGCCGACCCACCCGCACAAATAGTGTATCAGGTTACACGTCTGGTCTGCAATTGTTGCATCTGTTCAGCCTTCTGGTCGCTACGTTTCGAGAAGTCATAAACCAGGGCCACAGTTTGAAAAGGGACCGCCATCCATGATTGAACGCTGAATGCGCGCGGCGCTGATAAAAGCGAGGGAGCCTGATTTTGATCACAACCCCCCAGGCCACCCTCGCAACTGCTGTAAGCATGCAAAGCAGAGAAATGTGCGCGGCGAGAAGGCGAGATCCCCATTTCGAAAACGATCCTCCCCCCTCCAGCCATCCAATCGTCGCAGAGCTCAGGCTTCAGGGCCAGAAACGGCGAGGGCGTCTCAACCAGAACGCCCGGACCGCCCTGCAGACACGTCTGGGCGCGCGGCGGGGAGCTATCTGCGAGGACGAGGGACGGAGCAGGGAGGAGCAGGGAGGAGGAGGAGGAGGAGGAGGACGAGGAGGAGGAGCAGGGAGGAGGGGGAGGAGGAGGAGCAGGGAGGAGGAGGAGGAGGAGGAGGAGGAGGAGGAGGAGGAGGAGCAGCAGAGGAGGAGGAGCAGGAGGAGGAGGAGGAGGGAGGAGGAGGAGGAGGAGGAGGAGGAGGAGGAGGAGGGAGGAGGGGGGATGAGGAGGAAGAGGAGGAGGAGGAAGAGGAGGAGGAGGAGGAGGGAGGAGCAGGAGGAGGAGGAGCAGGAGGAGGGGGAGGCCCACCCCTCCTCGGTCGCCGTCGAAGTAGAGGGTGAGGAAGCCCTGCTCGTGCTGCTTCCTGGCCGCCCGCCCACTCTCTGGACAGGCCGCAGTCCTCCCGGAGGAGGGCCCATCGAGAAAACGGCGGCTTCCCCGCCCAGCCCACACCCGCTCAGAGTCTTCGGGAGCCTTGAGACGGGGGTCAATGCAAACGGGGGTCAGCCAGAGAGCCCGATCCTGCAGGATCCTACAGGGACAGGGTCGCATTGACCCGGGCTTAGGTGCAGGATCCTGCAGCTCTTGCATGATCCTTCGCATTGACCCGTGCAGGATCTTGCAGGATCGTGCAGGATTCTGCAAGGCCTGACTGACCCGGGTCTGCATTGACCCGGGTCAGAAGATCCCCGCAATGTGCTTCCCAGACCGCTCCCGGGGAAGAAAAACCTCGCCCGTTCCCCGAGGCGGGCCCAGCCGCGGCGAAGAAGCCCTCCAGGCAGTCCCAGGAAGGCCGGCACGACGCCCTTAAGGAGGGCCGCCGTTGTCTCGACCGAGCCTCCTCCGAGATCCGCCTCCCGCCGCTGGTGGAGGTCTGACTACCTACCAGACCACCCCAACCCAACCCGAAGATCCGAATTTCGGGTTGGGGGGGGTAAGGGTTCCACATGTGTTTTTTCGACGTTTCCCGACCCCCCCCCACTGGAAATGGAGGGCAAATGGAGGCCTTCGGGTTGGGTTGGGGTGGTTTGGTGGGTGGTGAAGGTCGGCGCTGAGGCCGCGGCCCTCCCGGCGACGCCGGGCGCCAACCGGGGGTCGGGGTCGAGCGGTGCAGCCTGGTGGGGGGGCGCGGCATCTGGACGCCTCCACTCCCCGGGGCCCCCTCGGAGCCATGAAAGAATCACGATGGGAGATTCTTCGCGCCTATTTCGGCAAGAGAAGACGTTTCGCCATTTTCGGCGAGAATCACGGCGGGGGGTCTTTTACAACTTTCGGCCCGTCGGGGGCCCTCGCCGGGCCTCGGGACCGTGAAAAAAAAACAACTCGGGACGAAAAAAAACGGTCCCTGGGGAATGGGTCGAGACATCTGGGGGTCGACGTCATGAAAAAATCCTGACGTCTGAGGTCTGGGTCGGTCTGCAGAGGAGGGGGCATCAGAGTGCTGATCAGCGGCGGTCGCAGAACCACTCGACACGCACACGGACGCTGGTGCGATGCTGCGCAGCCCACCGCCCTTCGTGGACCACATCAGTATAACAAGCGCCAGGCACGAGCATCGCTCGCCCACAAAAGCGACGATCAAAAAGGGGTCTTACGCGAGATGACATGGCGACCTTACGCGGTGGCTTGCGCGGGCCGCCGGCGCGGCACGCATGATTGGAGACGAGGGCGCTTACGCGCGACCTTACGCGGGCAGCTTACGCGCCAATGTCGGCGAAGACGACCCTGTTTTTGTTACGTCGCTCAATTGGTTGTTCTTCGCACAACGGGGCTGAGCAAAAAGCGGAGTGATTGGCCCCCAGCGATTCCCCTGTCGGCCCAGCGGCCTCGCGCTCTCCCTCTCTTCTCGCGGGCCCCGTTCACGTGCCTGGTTCGGCGGCGAGCGAGGGGGGAAATGAGAAGAGGAAGGCCTTCTCAGAAGGCGGCGGGACTTCTCAGAAGCCCTCGCGCATTCTGAGAAGATTGTCCTGTCTTCGGGGAAGGGCTCAAAAAATTTCTCGGAAGGCTGGGGGACTTCCGAACCTTCTGAGAAGGCCTTCTGCTTCTCACTTCCTCCCCCTCGCTCGCCGCCGACCGGTGGGGAGAGGGGAGTGGGAGAGGGAGGGGGAGTCAGGCTCAGGCGGTGTCGAGCAAGTGACGCTGCAAAAGGCGTGCTCGACCTTCCCCTCCAACACGGCGTCCAACAGGTCTCCTCGAGGGCATAAAATGCCTCCAGACGGCTCCATGGGGCCTCGAAGCCCCCCAGGGATGCCCCCCAGTGGCCAAAATCCTTCAAACATATGATTTGGTTACATGATGTGTAGCTTCTAGTTGTTTCGCTTCTTCTGGCCTTCTGAATCCTCAGAGTGGCCCCAAGAGGGCCCCGAATACCGCCAACAGCGCCCCGAAAACGTCCCAAGGGGGCTCCAAAAGGCGATGTCTGGTGCTCCAGACGGGGGGAGGGGGGAGCTACTTCCGAGTCTCCAAGATGACCCCAAGCGGCCCCTCACGGAGCACAAGATGGCCCCAAGAGTGCCCCGAGAGAGCACGAAATGGCTCTCAACACGCCCGAAGAGAACCTCAAAATGGCCACGAAGCACAGGCCTCTATGGTCGCCTCTCCGATTCGTCTCGCCACTCCGCTGTGGCCTTCGCGGCGCCCCCAAGGGAGTCAACAACGAAGACCTTCGGGTGCCCCCAGGGGGGGTCGTCCAGGTCATAAGAGAAAGTATGACAGAGCAGTGTTGAAGAGAAGAGGCTGTCCCGCTCCTTGTTCCACCATATGTGACTTCTCGTCCTCCTCCTGCTTCTCGTCCTGCTCCCCTTCCTCCTCCTCCTCCTCCTCCTCCTCCCTCATCCTCCTCCTCCTCCCCTCCTCCTCCTCCT